TATTATTATTTGTTTACTAATTTATATCAAAAAACAATCTACATATGTATGTATGTTTACATAAATAGGATGGTTAATTCAAATTACACAATGAAATCACAAAACACTTACAGATCTACATAAATCCAAGCATATATGCATATTTATTTATGTAGTTGAAGATTCTTAACAGATCTCCAAAAGAATGAAGATGAAAACTGCAGCAAACATGTACCAAAACTATATAATATGCCGTAAACATAATCACATGTGTTATTATTAGAATACATCCGTATATTCGTAATCGTAAGTTGTCTGAGATGGATATACATATATAGTATCCTTTACCCAAGGGCTTAATATCTGAAATACTAAAGCTAATTTCACAATAGCTTGGAAAATTAGGCAACTATAAAAGTCTTTTAATTTTAAGTTCTAAACTAAAAATGTTAGTAGATTCAAAAGATTATACATCTTAAATACCAAATTCAGGCAATAATTAAATTAGCATAAAGTACTATAAATTACTTAATAAATGTAAATTTCAAAATATTGAGCGGGCTTAAGGGAACACAATAAATTAAAGTTAACATCTCATAGACGTTGACATTACATTTGCTTATTATATATACATATATAAATTCAATAGATGATTAATAAAATTTAGAGTATTGAAATCTATACTGACTAGAATTTGTCAAGATTTTTATATTCCAATGCAAGTACGTATTATTTTTGAATTTTTATCTGCAAAAAGAAATTTATGTGTGTTTATGAAAAAGAGAGAGTGTGTACAAAAATCTTGCCAAAAGTCTAGTTAGTACAAGCATAAAGCTGATGACAGACACTTTCCCAACTTCGCTATCTACAAGTGTTCTTACTTCGAACATTTAGTTAACTTTTTTATTAACCGTAGCACAAAGACATTTAACCAGACTTCATAACCTTCCCCCTGATATTATTCACCTAGCTGAATTTTCAATTGATCTACTTATTAATATGAGGTACAAGCCTTAACAATTTCTAGTCCTTTATCTGAACAACATCGTCCACTCTACAAACTTAATTACAACTACCCGTTGCATAAAGTTTACTTTTAGTCAGTATATACAACCTAGCAAGAATATCCTCCATTCCACCCGTCAACTATTTACAAATTTGGATTCGATATATTTGTTGTCTAAATACTGAGCTTTCCATATTAATGTCAATTCTATACACTCCATTCTTAGGCGTACTTTTTTAGCGGATTTTGCTGAACGCAACAACCCCCATATCATCCTTGTGACTGAAACACGGCTCAATTACAGAGACGTTGTTGATGTCAGAGGATATAATTTTATCCGGTTCGATAGGGACGGCATCGGTGGGGGACTCGCCATTTTGGCAAAAGACTCTCTCAAGTGTTCTAGGATTCACATCCCTTCACTTGTTTCTCTTGAGGCGGTTGGCATTACTCTTTCTCTCTCCAACCGTCCTGATCTTAACATCTTTTGCGTCTACCACACTCCCTCTATTGCTTCGTGCATTGTCCCTTGTGATCTGGGCACCCTTGCCTCCTTGTCCCCTAACCCTTTTCTTATCGGTGGTGACTTCAATAGTAAGCACCCCTTTTGGAATAATTCTGCCTCTTGCCCTAGTGGCACTAGGCTATTCAACTGGCTGACTAGCAGCTCAGTCAGTCCTGTTTTAAGTGTGGTAGCTCCTTCGGTTCCGACTCATATTAATAGTATCATTGATTTTTTCTTAGCGGATAATCGCCTCCTTTCCTGCCTTAGTGACCCACGAGTCATTGACGGCATATCTGACCACCAAGCAGTAATGCTTGTGCTTCACGACTGCAGAGCTGCTCGTGCCTGCCCTCGTACTTTTTTTTAACTTTCCTAGCACCAACTGGTCGGAGTTCAACCTCGCTCTCGACCACCTCCTTCTTAATTTGAGCATTCCCGAATACAGGAACATGACTCCTGTGGAGATTGATTTTGCTGCCCGTACTCTTGAAAGCATTTTCACCTCCACAATTGAGGACCATGTTCCGAAGGTGTGTGTTCGCAAATTTTATCAAGTTCCTCTTGATGCTTCTACCCTTCTCCTCATTAACCTGAGGAAATCGCTTCGCCGCAGAACTTATCGCCTTAGACAGGTAGCTTCACCGCAAGCTCATGCGTTCCAAGCCATTCTTAAGAACCTGGACACCATAATTGCCCAGAGAGTCAACCAATCCAGGTTTAATTCCATTAGTGCCAGACTTCGTGCCACTCAGTGCCGGTCTGACGTCTTTAGTACGGTCAGGCAAATCTGTGGATCCAATAGGTCCATCTCAGACCTCCGCTATGGCAACTCCATGGTGTATGACGACCTTGATAAAGCCAACGTCTTTGGTGAAGTCTTTATGACTAATCACCGTCTTACGGCTGGCCTAGGCGAGCCCCACCTTACGTTAACTACGAATTCTGTAGTTCATGGGCTTTTTGATGCTTTCAATGAAAGCATTGTTACTTTCTCCCCGCAGTTTCCCGCTCACTGCATCAATGTTGAAGACACTCAAGGGTTTCTCACCCCTTTTGATCTTATTGACATGCTTCGGCTTAAAGCCCCTAAAAAGTCATCTGGCACTGACTGTGTGTCTTTCTACGCCATGAGGCGTTTCTCACCACTCTTTTTTAAAAAGTGCGCCATGCTCTTCAACCATGCGTACAACACTGGTTCCTTCCCCCAGCCATGGAGGAAGGCCATAGTTTGTCCCGTTGCCAAAATTGGCAAACCCAAAGCTGACCCCTTCAGCTATCGTCCTATTTCTCTTCTCAACTCTGTCAGTAAGCTCTATGAAACCTTCATAGCCAGCAAGCTGAAATCCTTCTCTTCTGGGAATAATATTATTCCCCCTTTTCAGTTCGGCTTTAGGAGCCAAATCTCTACCATCCATGCCCTGCATCATCTCCAAAATGAGATATGCGTAGGCTTTTTTAATAAGCAGCCCACTGTGGCACTAAGTCTTGACATTGAAAAAGCCTTTGATACTGTCTGGTTTGAAGGCTTAATCCTTAAGCTTCACCAGTTCGGCTTCTCTCCTACGCTCTGCAGTGTTGTCCACAAATTTCTTTCTAACAGAACCTTTCAAGTTCGAGTCGGTTCCTCTCTGTCACGTGATTTCCCCATCGATGCTGGCGTCCCTCAGGGCTCGGTTCTTGGACCCCTCCTTTTCAACCTGTTTATAGCAGATATTCCACTCCCGCGGACCCCTATTAAGCAAATCTGCTTCGCAGACGACTGCCTTGTCTTCATGCGCTCGTCTAATCCTTTCCGCGTCTCCAATGAGCTTAATGCCCACCTTAAATCTCTTTTTGACTACTATACCAGGTGGAAGATTAAACTCAATCCTTCCAAGATCTCTGCCATTGCCTTTACTGGCCAGCAGCGTGATCGTCCCAGAGGTTTTAGCACCTCTAATATTAAGCTCAGGCTTAATAACTCTCCAATTCAGCTTGTTCCCAAGCTGAAATATCTTGGCATTGTTTTCTCTTCCAAACATAACTTCATACCACATATTGACTATGCCATCCGTAACGCCCGGTTCAGGCATACTCAACTTAAAACTGCACTTCGAAGACATAACCAGCTTAACTGCAAAGTTAAGCTGCTCTGCTATAAGCAGCTTATTCGTCCTCTCCTCACTTACGCTTTTCCTATTTGGTCAGCCATCACTTCCGCTCAGATGGAAAGAATCCGCTTGTTTGAGCGGAAACTTCTTCGCGATTGCACTAATTATAAGCGCAAACCTAATGGCAAACACTTTTCCATAACAACTCTCTATAACAATGCCAAGATCACTCGTGTTGATGAGTATCTTCTGTCACTCGCCCGTAGGTATCTCACCCGGCTCCATGACCTTCCCCCCGACGTTTCCATTCCTTCCACTCTCTCAGAAGACTTTGTTCTAGCTTTGCGCTATAAACCCCCCCCAATACCTGACTCACTACTTCGACGAAGTGGACCGTAACCTCTCCACTATCCCCTTATATAACCGCGGCTTTCGTGACCCCAGTCACAAAGTATATTGTTGATTCCATCCCCGCTAGTTAGCCGTAACCCCTCCCCCTTCTATATCATCCATCCTACTTAGTTCATGCCCTTGCTTTCTGACTTAGATGAATCTAGTTCACTAGGTATTAAGTCTATTTTCTCATTCCTCTTTCCCATGATTACTGGAATGAAGTTTCCACATTGGTGTGGAAATCTTCTTCATTCATTCCTAAGAGGTGGTTTTAGTGGGTTCAAGTCTCACACTGTGGCTTTCGATGCTTTCCACCTACTGCAAAAAAAAGAGCTTTCCATATTCTAATGTCTGCATTTCCTTTGATAACTCGAATGGGATTTTAGTTTTTGATTTTAGCGGGCCAATAGCTGCAATTCGTCCATTTTACATTCCTAAGAGGTACTTTAAGTGAGTGAAAATTTCACAATGTGGCTGTAGATGCTTTCTACCTACCGCAAAATGATAATAAAACAAACAAAATATTATTGTTATTGATATGATTTTGATGAAAGCTAACCAATTATTTATGCTTTCGAAATTATCCATGGTATAAATAAAAATACCAACTTAATTTATGGTTAGAATCAATTGAAAAGTATTATTACAATTTTTATAGTATCGCTATTTCACTATTCTGTGTAATATTTTCCACTACGCTGTAACTAATAAAGTTTTATTCTGAAGATGTCGCTTTTGAAGTTTTAAATCATAACTATGATTTCACAAATGACGAATTACTAAATCGAAAACACTATACACTTTTGAAAAACAATCTTTAAAATGATTTCAACTCTGCCAATTTCAAATATATAACTATGAATTACTATAACTATTAAATTAATTACTAATAAACATTTGCAAGAAAGCATATTTGCACAATTTCCTACAGGGTAGTTAATATTATCTTACATATCATTCGCTCTCCCTGTGTTGTTTATTATTGCCAACGCAAAAATCAGCTGTTGGAAAGCATAATTGACAATGTTAAAGCGCTTTTTGTTCTGCCGTTACTTTTTCCATAAATAATTATTATTATTTCCATAAATAATTATTATTATTTTCATAAATAATTTAATTAAATATGTTAAAATTAAATTTTGATAATGAAGGAAGCAACCATGGTGACTTCTTTGGCAATTTAGACCGGTAAGCTTACTGAGCATGAAGTCTGGTTAATAAATTTGATTTTTGTTCATTTAAAGGCGCTCGAATTTGGATGAACTTTTCGACAGCGCGGAAGAAACTGAAGATCAAAACTTAAAATATAAACGTACAAAACAACCACATTCCGAACCTACCTCAACAGCTACCGGCACTCAAGCTCAGGCATGGAAAACAGAATTGGCGTTGGTGGCAACTGCTTACAAGGCGGACGCATCAATGGGCAAAGTAGGTGTGGCGCTGTTAAGAGATGCAACAAATAATTTCAGGGTCATCATTTACAAAACAAAAACTTCAATTCTATCTAATTTGAACGTAAAAAAGGAAGACCAAACAAATTTTTATATGCAAAATAATTATATACAATTTTATGATGAAAGTATGATCTTTTGGAGTTTAAACTTTGACAAGCATGAGGATAGGCAAGCATTTATAGATAAATTGAATTTCTTTAATATCAAAGTAGAAGATAAACCAGAAATAAAAACACAAACGGAAATAATCGAAAAAGTAAAAGAAAGTCCAGTGATAATCATGGACGACAAAGTTGACGAATCACCCAAGGGAAAGAACAACACACGAACAAGTTTACTATCACGTATATCAAAGGTAGGCCAACAATTGCCAATATTTCCGAAATCAGATAAAATAACTAATAACGAAATTGTCACTACCACCGAATACAGTGACTCATCGGATGCGGAAGTAGTAGCAACTCCACTTATAGTCACCAATAAGCCAACTATTGCACCAAAAAGCAAAACAATGAGTAAATTAACAAATAACCAAATAGTGGCTGCAAACAGCACAAGTTTCTATGGAAACAATACACAGTTTAATGCAATGGAAACTCAATTTCTGCAGATGATGCTCACAGAGAATCGTACACAAAATACAGAAATGCGTATGGTCATTAATAAATTAGAGTCAAAAATTGAAAAAGTTATGGACAAGGTAGATGGCATGTCAACCGGTGGAAATCAGAAAACAAACAAAGATGACGAAATAATTGCATTAGAAGAAAAACTATTGGAATTAAAGAAAGAAAATAGAAAACTGAAGCAGACGTTGGACAATAACTCACAACGGATAAACGAAGAATCATTCCATAATTTATTAAAAATTTATGCTGACGACTTTGAGGATTTAGGCATAAAACCGATAAAGGATCTTGAAAAAGTTTTTAATGATTTAATAGAAAAATCTAAGCAATTTCAAAAAAGCAATATAAAAAATGAATCTAGTGTAAAGGAAGAGATGAAGAAGAGTCAACTGTTAGAACAAGAACTCGAAACGGAAAGAGAAAGTCATAAAATAATAAAAAAGAAATTATTAGAATTAGAAAATACATTGGAAAACTTAAAGCAAAGTCATATGGAGAAAGAAATCGAGGTCGAAACATTGAACCAAAAGCTTGTGGAACAATTGGAAGCACAGCAAAATAAAACACAACAGGAAAAAACACAAACTGAAATCGTTCTCAAAATTATGAACAATTTATATGGAAGCTTGAGCACAAAAATGGACGATCTGGATGTGTTGCAAAAGGAACAAATTATAGCAATTATTGGACAAACAATTAGAGAGGAAAGCCTAAAAGTGATTCGCAAATAAGCCATAAAATAAGTTTAAAGTATTATAAGTATTAATATATAATATCTAAGAAATAATTTTATTTTGTTAAATGTATTTAAATATACTTAAAGTAAACCAATATTTAATATCGGTCTAAATGATTGTAAAGTTAAAAAAAATATATATATTTTGTAATATTAAATTAAAACATATGTCTAGGTCACTATTATAGACTTTAAAATGAATCCCTGTTTTATCAATGCAAAAAAAGATTCAATGGTTTCTAACCTTATTATACCCCTATACAGTATCCTTATCTAAATTCTTAGGTAAGCTATCATGTATATATAGATGTGATATCACAATAGTTTCACTTTTTTTTTCAACTAATTGCTAAGAGATGGTTTTAGTGAGTTCAAGTCTCAAGGTCCACTTTAGAGACCACTTTGCGCTAAAGCAATTACTTGTGTTTACCATATCTCGAAATGACACACCATACCATTGAAGATAACGTAAAGTTAAGATTTTATTTTTTTGTAATTATTTTCAATTTTAAACGGTTAATTAAAAAAATCTTATTTTACTAGAAACGAGTTTGATGTCTTCAGTAAACTTGCTACAATTGAGCAGATAAACACTCGTATAAGTGATAAACTTAATTTTGAATACATTTAGTGAAAAAAATAGATTACTAATCCAAACGTGTACTTGATAATATCAATCAAATTACATATGTTGAGTTCACTATTGAATGCTGTAAGTGCTTGACAGTTTTAGTCTAAAATAATATACAGATAATTAAACCTAAAAAATAATTTCAAAAGAACAGCGATGCTGATTACTTGACTGCATCCTATGCTAACCTTTTCTCCACTCTTAATTTTTCTATCTGAAATAGAGATCTTGCTTAGACAAAACTAACAGCTCTCCACACAGATGCAGCTTCCTCTTCGAGATCATGATTACATAGCAACAAAGTTCTAAACAAGTCTCCACCAAAAATCTCCAAGGACGAGTGTGGTTCCAAGAACGGTCGAGTCTACATCCTGGAGCCACTCGTCACCTACGACGACCAAGCACCGTTCAACACCATCCAAAGGGACTCCACAAGCAGGTCCCGGTGGGTTACAACAACAACAACCTTCTGCGTGCAGCAGTAACTGCCTTAGGTTAATTTCAATTACAATTCCACCCACTTATTACCTAGTTTTGTTCCCGAACAAACCCCTTCACTTTCACACGTCATTTTTACAATCATATCCTAATCCACGTATTATAATTCTTTCCATGTTATCTGCTACATAGATCTGCCCGAACTACAACAACATAAATAATATACAAACTCTAAATGTCGCTTATCATTACTCCAACTCAACTTCGGAACGTTCTTGAATTCAGACATCTGTAAACGATTATTACCATTCTGTTTTTTTTTATCAATCCAATTAATAAATCATATATGTATCATCCAACTTCCAAATATCTTTTACAGCGTTAAAAATATGCGAGTAATATGTACTAGTATATTTAAAGAATTAAATATCACTTTAATTTCTTATAAAATTTTATATAAAGCGTTTTTATTTCATAAGTATAGTGACAACCATAAATTAATCAGTACGTTCTATCTGCACCATATCGTCAATCATTATTCAATCAGTACTTGAGTCCTCATCAGTAGTCGACTCATAAGCTCTATGTGATTTACGTTTAACTTTCACCTTTTTGCGTCTCAATTTAGGAGACTCAGCTTTACGTTTGTATTTTCCTTGTTTCTTTTTCTTTCGTCCGTATTCATCCGATTCGCTTGTTGAGGATTCTTCATTATCAGAAGAATCCGAGTCGGATTCACTGGAATCGGAACTATCCGATGTATCAGTGCTACTACTATTACTACTACTACTGCTAGACTTCTTTTTGTGTTTTTTCGACTTGGAGCTCTTCTTTTTCTTTTTTTTCTTCGACTTCTTATTTTTAGATTTTTTACTTTTCTTTTCCACTTTCCGTTGAAGCAATTCAGCTTCTTTCTCCTTGAGTTCCTTCATGCGTAGCTCAGTCAGTGGAGTCAAGTAATCGATTTCAGAATCCGAACTGGTGCTGTCAACATCGAGCAATATTTCTTTATTAGGGTCAACCTAACAAATTTACAAATTTTTCAGAATATTTATTTAATTTAAAATAGTTGACTTACTTTTAAGAAGTTTCTGCACTGAAACGTTAGGTGTCCGGCATATCCACATTTTTTGCAAGCTGCACGTACTCTTTCTTTTTTTTCCAGCGAGAAATTCATTTCGTTCTTGGAAGCTCACAAATATGCACCAATATTATTAGTTAATTTTGCTTTAATTTGTTAATGTTGCCTAACTTATGACACTTGGTTAACAACAAAACAACGTCACGTACATTTCCTAATTAGATATGTTATATTTTAAAATGATTACCGATTACTTAGTTAAACTAAAATGTCTGCTGAATAATTGTGTACTCGAAAAAATATTGAACAGTGTAATAATATATAATATGGGTATTTTGACATACTTGATAGAGTGATAAAATTATTTATAAATTTGTTTCATTTAAACTTCAACGTTACAGATTTACCGAACCATCAAGTCTAATAATTGAACAAAAATTAGTAAAATATCAGCTGATTTTTATAACTGTGAAGTGTTACAAAAAATTTTAAATTTTTTGGATATTTGAAGTGTTTAAAAAAAGTAATATAATAAAATAAAATTTATAACTAAAAAAGTATATTAATAAAAACAAATTTACACTAATATCACCTTGATTTTACCTTTTCCACATAGGTTTTACTTAAGACAAAACATGTATGTATGTCTTGCCAAACATTTTTATGTATAACATTTTTTATGTAGTTCTTATCCACCGGTTAAAAAAAATATTTTTTAATTAATTTTCGAAAACTACTTTTTTTAGCTTTTTTATATGACCTATTAGGTCTGTTCCAGAAGCTATTCATAGTAATTTTGAGTAACACTATGTATACACAAGTACATTCCACAAAGAAATTTTCGAGTATTTTCGTGTAAATTTTATTTGAGTTTTACTACGAGTACCTCGGGAAACAGGCCTATAATATAGACCTATAATATAAAAAAGCAAAAATATGTGTGTGGGTTTTTGTCGTCGTCGCGATCAAAGGAGTAAGCGCGCCATTCTGAGTAAAAACCATTTATATTAATATATGGAGTTTACATTGACCGAAAATGGCTCATTTTGAATAAGACATTTGAAAGTGTTTACATTCGTTGTATTTCGTTTGTTCTCATTTCAAACACCTGACTTGCCTGTTGTTTTGATTATTGAGCTGTGCCAAAAAACTGCTGCATGATTATTAAATATGCCTTCAAACCTTATAATATATACTTAAAACATATTGTTGCGAAGATACAATTCGATTTAAGTTAACTGAGATAATTTTGAATTATGTCAGTTAGTTAGTAAATAAGTTTTTAATAGTTGGTTAATTTTAGGAGAATACGGAAGTTGATTATTTTAAGCAATAAAGTTGTGTGTTTTTCAGAATATAAATAACGGTTATAATTAATACAAGTTTAATATTATTCACTTATCAGGATCCAGTGTTATCGAACGAAGCGTTAGAATAAACGTAACATTGGTGTCAGAAGTGGGATCCTGATAAATAAAATGGTTAAGCTTGGACAGTTAACCGTAGTGCAATTAAAGCGGCAACTGGAGAAGCTGGGGCTTAGCACAGGTGGTGTTAAGACGGAGTTGCAAGTAAGGCTGCGTGAGGCTTTAGAGGCGAGCGGTATAAATGCGGAAGTGGAAGAATTCCCTGAAGAGATAATTGTAGCGGGAGAAGTTAAACAGGTGGGTAATAGTGAAATGATGGAGCTTATGATGAAGATGATGCAGCAGATGAAGGAACATGCAGAGCAGACTTCCACTGAGCTTAAGAAAAACGCAGAGCAGATTTTCTGTGAATTCAAAGATTTAAAACAAGAGTTGTGGCAACTTGTCGGGATAACAGCAGAGGCGCAAGAAAAGTTGTCGAAAAGGGTTGATGAAACAAACCAGAATATTCAAGTCTTTAATGAGGTGTACCAGTTAGAAAATCGATTGGATGATTTGTCGTCGAATCGTCATTCGTTAGCGAGTGTTCGCCGGACTGGGGAAGTAAAATTAAAACCACCGGTGTTTGGTGGAACCGCGATGTTTGAAGTTTTCCAGTTACAGTTCGAGACTACTGCTGTTGCAAATCGTTGGGGTGAAGATGAGAAAACGGCAGCGCTGATTGTGGCATTAAAGGGCAGCGCGGCAGAGGTGCTACAACAGATTCCTGATAAGGCACGTAGGAATTACCATGAGTTAATTGGCTTATTAAATCGTAGGTATGGCAGCAATTTTATGTCACCCCTACGCAGAGTAGAACTGAAGGCAAGAGTAGAACGAGTTGGCGAGAGTCTTCAGGAATATTCCGCGGATATCGAACGTTTATGCAATTTAGCGTATATTGGGAGTTCTAGTGACTTCATTAAAAAAAATAAAATTGATGTTTTTATTGATGGCATACGTGATCCAGAAACCAGACGGCAGGTGGTAATGTTTCCAAAGCTAACTTACGCTGAAACAGTTGGCAGTGCGTTAACGTACGAGGCTGCCGGTATAATGTGTTGCTTTACAGCAAAAGTACGGAAAATGGAAACTGGAGTGGCAGGAAGAAAGACAAGAAGGAAGGCAAAAGAAAAGACAGAAATGAAGGCAGGAAGAAAGACAAAAAAGAAGACAAGAAAGGAGGTAAAAAGAAATAGAGGAAAGAGAAGAAAAGAAAGAAGGATAAAAGAGAAAACAAGAAATAAGATAAGAGGGAGAAGAAGACTGATTCAAATAATGAATAGGGAAAAAAGTAACAGAAAAAAGAGAAGAAAGAAAAGGAGGAAAGGCTATTTCTGTTTATATAGTTATGATTTTGTGTTAATCGGCTTTGGTATAGCTGAATCAGTTGAAATTAACATCTGCTTGGACGACCAAGAATCCCCATATGTTATATATGTTGAGGATATTCCATTTGAAGTAGATTTTATGATTGCCCATGGAATTACGTTGGACTTAGGACAATGTATCCTACGGAGCGCGGTAATGGAATGTCCATTGAATACTGGCAGTGAGCATTGCGATAGGATGAGACAGGTTCGATTGAATCGACGACGACGAATACCGGCAAATTCAGAAGCGATTGTATGGGGAACACTAGACGCGAATAAAAGGACGAGCAGATGCTGGATTGTAGAAGCCATGGAAAATGTCGGAGTCGATAATATCGTACTTGCACGAACTTTGGTGCATCCGTTCAGGATTAATCAGGAAATCAAATATGATGCGGAGACCGCAGAGGACTTGTTGGTCGCGAATAAGTTGTCTTATAAAGATATACCGTTAAACGTTGATGCCAACCTCACAGATGATAAGAACGTGACAATTGATGTAAATGTCTTGTTTCATGAGGATACCACAGATGACGTATTGGCTACGGGTAGTGAATTTAATGCTGATGTCAGAGATGTCTTGTTCGTTTCGGACATAACAAATAATGAGAATAAGATGAAAGTAGTTCATTTGGAACGGTTGGCGCGTTGTGATGAAGATATAGTGACACTTGTTCGGGACGAACAAGTTTAGGTGGAGGGCAATGTTGCGAAGATACAATTCGATTTAAGTTAACTGAGATAATTTTGAATTATGTCAGTTAGTTAGTAAATAAGTTTTTAATAGTTGGTTAATTTTAGGAGAATACGGAAGTTGATTATTTTAAGCAATAAAGTTGTGTGTTTTTCAGAATATAAATAACGGTTATAATTAATACAAGTTTAATATTATTCACTTATCAGGATCCAGTGTTATCGAACGAAGCGTTGGAGTAAACGTAACAATATTTTTAACTTCGATTAATTACTTTTTGGGAAGTAGAAGTTCTAAAAAAAGGTGCATCGTTTTCAAGAAAATGCAACCACCAAACATTTATTTACCTTTTTTTGTAAATATGTCAAAAAGAGGGTACGCATACGAATGTCGTTGGGACGCATTCATACAGAATATGATGGAATGGCTCATTCGCTCTTAAAATTTTATATGCAAGAATGAGCCATTGGTTTCTCATTTTCGATTTTTGACCAAAATGAGTCATTTTCGGCCAGAGTAAATGCCGTATTAAATTGTAAGGTATATAATATTTTTAATCAATAAAGTATATAACAACACCTATAGTCCGATTTAAAACAAAATATGTCATACTATTTAAACAGCACAGATAAATCATGTTAAACTAAAATTATTTAGTTTTAGTGTTATAAATAAAAGTTTTATTTTCTAACCTATGTAGCTGAGATCTTATAAAATTTTCATTACTGTGTAGTTACTTACACTTGTTTTTCGTAATTCTTTTTTGTGATATGGCAGCACTTTGAAATTTGTTTCTACGAAATTTCATATCAAAACTTCATTCTTGGCTTAACTTTCAGCATTTACATTTAAGTGCTATTTGTAATTGGCAAATATGCCGTGTGAATGCATATTTTATCATAATCACGGGTTCGAAGTTAAATTTTGTTGGGTGTATAGACTAATACCTTTCATTTCTTGAAAATGGAAAGAGGAGTGAGTATTAAAAGTAATTTTAAATATAACAAAAATTTTTATTAGAAATATTTTAGCGCAAACAATATTTCAAATCAAAACGTATGCGAGTGAGTGAAGCATATAAGTGGGGAGATGCGCAGGTGTTGGAGTTGCTAAACCTAATAGTAGATGCAATTGGGGATGCACCGAAGGGCTTCGAAGTAAGCGTGTGTAGAATTTTTCTAATTGCATTGACAATAATTTGATTTTCCTATTATGTATGTGACAGAAACCGACCGCTCAGACTTTTTATTTAAAAATTATGAGCCACAGCAAAACTTTTGATGGGCTAAATTTTCTTGTATTAAAGAACAAAATGCGCCACTTGAAATCTGGTTATATTTCTGCTATAGAGTGGAAAAAAACGACGGGTGCTAACCTTTTAGCCACTGAATTTGAAACACAAGTAACAGGTGTGAAGATTAATGCAAAGCTAAATTATAATTGTTATGATTGTTATTAAACTTCTAGATTATATCTCAACAATTTGCCCTAGATTTGATCTTCTTCATAAGATTTATGGCGGCGCAATAAATACAAACGTTGCTGTAATTAAATCTGAGCCATCATTCCACGATCCTAAACATTCACCAACCCTGCTATCCGAAGCCGGTGTTCTGAGTATAATTGGTGACGATGAAAACACTTATGGAGACACTCAAGTAACTTCTCAGCTATCAAGATCAAATACAATAAGCCATAGGTCTGCATCGCCAGAAAGTGGTGTATGCTCTTCAAAAATTACATTTCGTCAATTAAGGAACGATATGGAAGAAAAAAAACTGCAGTTCCAAGCGCAAAATGCGGAACTGGATCGGGCACATGCAATCCGTTTGAAAGAAATGGAATTGCAGGCTCACAAAGAATTAGATATAAAAAAACACGAAATGACTCTTAGACATCAATTGGAAGTCAAACTTAAAGAGTTTGAGTTAAAGAAGTACGAATTAAACCTTAAATATAATATACAAAACATGTAAATATATATCTTAATCAGTTTTAAGTTTAGTTTTTTTATAGTATCTATGTATGTTAATGTATATAATTTATGTATATTTAATGGAATTTATAATATATTGTTTTTAATGAAATTGCTATTTTTTCTTTTTTTAAAAATCCGGTCAACAGCAGTTGCTTTCAGGACAAATTTCTAAAAAAGGAAATATTTATAAAGTTTTGTTTCAAAATATCAAAATTTTATATCAAATGAGCAGTAGTTTATGTCTGAATAATTTCATTTATTGTTTTTCATTTGCAATTTCTCCTTAATGTTTATTCTGATTAACTAAACCAATTCTATCAATAAGGTACGGTATATTTATAAAGTTTTGTTTATATATATTTAACCGGTTGTGACAAAAGATATTTGAAATTAAATAAATTTTTGCATGTCATCAAATTTTGTTTACTTTTTGCAGCTGATGGCAAGTAATATCAAGTTTTCACCAAAAACAAATTACTGCTGTATTATTTATTATTAATTCAAGTATTTTTCACTTCAATTTTGCTATTTCATATTCCTATACCTAAAATCAATTCCAATTATACCGACCCACGAAAATCATTATTACTCAGGTTTGTTCAGTATATAATTTCAGTAGAGTCCATTTCATTAAAAAGACCCTTACCAACTATGAATTACATACCAATTATGAATTAAGTTATGAATTACAAAATAATTTAAACCGGCTTTATA